AATCCAGAAAATTTATAAAATCGTATATGTCAATAGCAAATGAAAATTATGAAATGAATATATGAAATTATCAATGATGATTATATTATTGAGACCTGTTAGAGTTATAGGAATGTGTGCTTTTTGTGTAAATTAGAACATTTATTTATTTGAGAGGCAGTGAGAGAGAGAATGAGACATGATTCATTCCTCCAATATCTGAAACAAGCCAGCAGATGGCCAAAAGCAGGAACCTGACTGCAATTCAGGCCTTCCATGTGGGTGGCAGGAACCACATTACTGGAACCATCATTGCCACCTCTCAAGGTCTTCATTAACAGGAAGCTTGAGTCAGGAGCTATAACCAGGGGTAAACCCAGGTACTCTGATGTGGGCTGTGGGTAACAAGACTGACTTCTTAATGCTAAGCCAAGGGCCTGCCCCATGTACATTTTTTTTTCTTTGACAGGCAGATGGACAGTGAGAGAGAGAGAGAGAGAGAGAGAAAGGTCTTCCTTTGCGTTGGTTCACCCTCCAATGGCCGCCGCGGCCGACGCACAACGCTGATCCGATGGCAGGAGCCAGGTGCTTCTCCTGGTCTCCCATGAGGTGCAGGGCCCAAGGACTTGGACAGTCCTCCACTGCACTCCCGGGCCACAGCAGAGAGCTGGCCTGGAAGAGGGGCAACTGGGACAGAATCCGGCGCCCTGACCGGGACTAGAACCCGGTGTGCCTGCACCGCTAGGTGGAGGACTAGCCTATTGAGCTGTGGCTCCAGCTCCCATGTACATTTTTGATGTTTGCATTTTATATAATTAATAAACATTACTTTAGTCAGTAGAAAAATGAATAAAAGGTGAAAAAAGGATTGTGAAAAACACTGGTGTTGTTAGTGTGCTTTTTAAAAAGGAGTTATGCTAAAAGTTGTGACAGATTTTATAGTATTTTATCCAACCTTAACCACACAAGTAGTAAGTGTGTCCTAGTAAAAACGAAACAGTGAACGAGGTTAAGGTTCAAGGTTAAGGCTCACTGTCAAGCCCCCTTTCATCAGGCACACAGTGCTTGGGAGCCTGATCTTGCCCCCTCCTCAATGCTGCTTTGCCTTCACCTGGACAGGTACACATGTAAACAGATGCGCTATTTTATTCTCTATAAATCTGCCATAGCATTCCGGCACAAAACAGGCCTTTTTCATGCAGGGAGATATCATGAAATCCTTTCTACATTGGTAAAAATTGCTGTCTCATTCTTGTTCATCTGTTGATTGGCTTCCCATAGTGTTTGTTCATTGCTGGAAATTTAGTTTGCTTATGGTTTTGACAGCAATTTAAGAAACAGTTTTAAGATACAGTGATAAAAATAGTATAACAACAAATATGTTCTTCCTTTTAAGGCCTAAGTTAGATGGGGAAGGAGTAGAGAAGAACTACTTTATTTAAAAGATCAAATAATAGAGTTATGGGTGTTGTCGAGGGCATGGTTAAGGGTCAGAATGTCCTATACTGGGCAGCTTGAACCACAATGGCACTGAAAAGTTCAATCCAACTAAAATGAATTTTAATAGAAGACTTTGAGGTTATCTCCACATTTTAATAATGCAGTGAATAAATGAGTACAGTGTATACCATTTACATTTGAGATGGATTCTTCCTGAACTTCAACATAATACAAATCTACTGCAAAGCATCAAGACAAAGCAACTAAAGAGCATTATAGAGTCATGGAATTTTGGCGCTAAAAGACACTGCAAAAAGTGCAAATTCAACCCCTTTTATACATAGGTTGAGCCTGTCACCTAGCTGGTCAAGCGACTTGCCTAAATTTGGGGGCTGAAACGGGTAGACTTTCTTTTTGCAACCATAGCAGTGTTGTTTTCACTGGGAGAGTTTTTCATGCTTTTCCAAAGAGGATCTGATGTAGGTACTGATGAACCTGGGGTAGGCAGGGAGGCGGGAAAGGGTAGACTGGGAATTACTAAGGGCGAATTATGCTGAGTACTCATTTGGAGCTGTCTGCTGTATTGGGACACTGAAAACGTACTGTTTAATTTAGTCTTTACTTCAATTCTTTTAGGAAATAGAGTCAGCGAGATGATTTGCTCAAGTCACATTCAAGTCAAGCCCTTCAGCCCGTTCCACCTGAGCCGCCACACCTCTCTGCTGTCTTGTCCTCGATCCTGTGCCGTGGATCGGGGATCAAGAGCAGCCACCTAGTCTCAGTTGTTTGGGTTTAAACCATAGATGCCCAGCTACTAATGGTTCTGTGCAGATTATTTTGCTTCTTTGAGCCTCAGTCAATCATTCAGTAAAATGAGAACAATAAAGAACTTGCCTCATGGGTTTGTTATGAGAACGACATTAGTTGATTCGGGGAAAGCATTCAGCAGAGCACATCACACCAATCAGGCAGTTTATGAACGTTTAATATTCTTATCAAATCAATCAACAATAAGCCTCTTCATCATACATCTCTGCTTCATTTGATTTTTTTCTTTAAAATCATGTAATAAGATTCAGGCCTCAGACAATAATCACCATTCTTGCACCCACTAGTACTTGACTGATCGTATCTCCACTTCCATCACTTTCATCTCCCGTCCTGTGAATATGATGACCAGGGTGGAAACCCAAGGCTACAGAACAAAGTCCATGTTCCTTAAAATGCTGCTCCATGCCCTCCAGGGTTTGTTCATCCTTTCCCTTTCAGGTTAATTTCTCACTGGCAAATCCCATGCCCTTCATGCTCCAGCAATTTTGAGCTCCTTGCAGCTCCCAAACAAGCAGTATGCTTTCACACTTGCCTGCCTCTGCACCACGACTCAGCCTAAAAGGCACTTCTTTGTCTAATCTGATGCCAGGAAAGCTCCTGCTCTTCATCAAACCCAGCCTGCATGTGGTTCTTCTCCGGATGCTGCCAGCTCAGCCCCCACACAAGCACTGAGGACTCCTCCATCCATCAGTATTCCTGTGTGTATTTGTTACTTGCTTACACCACTCTGCTGCAATGATCAGGGACTGTTTTTGTCTCTTGCCAGCCTCTGAACATCTTGAGGGAAGGGACTGGTTTAGTCTTCCCAGAGTGTTTCATGGTGACTGGCACACAGTAAGTACTCAATAAATGGTCAGTTTTTACTTGGCTGCCTATTCTCTGGGCCAGTGGGATTTAATGTGACTGCAATTGACCTTGATCATATCTGTCAATTCTTATCGGAGGGCAACTTTTGTTCTACTTGACATCTTTGAGCAAAGAAAATTCAGAACAGCAATAGGAATCGCAAAACTATGTGTACATAACACTAACCACCAGCAATGCCAGAACTCAAGGAACTGGTATACATGTTTTTCTCCAAATTCTCCATCCTCTAGATAAACCCAACCCTCCCATTAGGAGACCTCAGCTTCTACCTCCCTCTCTGGTCAGGTTAGCATCCTTTCTAATGGTTGCTCAGTACATACAATTTTTTCATCCAGGTTCTTTTTCAGGTTCCTGCCTGTCTTTATAGCCTCATGATCACTTCTTAGCATATACTTTTCCTTCCAGCAACAGCTTTGGCTTTCTTCACATAAATAGAATAACATCTTTATTTTTGTTCTCACCCCTGCATAAAATATCCATTTCTGATTTCTTTACTTTGATAATTAGTGTTTAAATTGTTTACAATAAAATTCACTGTTCTGGCAAATGTGCACAGTCATGAAATCACCATAATTTGGACAAATCAGCCGTATCACCCCTAAAGCACCCCAGTCCGTACTTCCTTATCAATCATCTCACTTCAGGTACAGTGATTATTGCAACTGCTAATTTGTTTTCTGCCTCTCTAATTTTACCTTTTATAGAATGTCTTGTAAGTGGAATCACAAGATATCTAACTTGTTATGTGGCTTCTTTCTCCTGGCTTATTCTCCTGTCTTTGCCTGTCTCATTAAGTGACTCTCAACTTAAGTGTCACTGTCTCCAGGAGAGCGTCCTGCTCCAAGGGTTGTGTGTTGCCTGTGCTCACACACTCCAGACATCCTTGACTTACCTTCATCATGCCACACAACAAACACATTGTGCTTTGGTTATCTATTTGTGTATGCCTGACCAGATTTAACTCTAGGAAAAAAGAATATATATATATATATATATATATATACACACAGACACACACACACACACACAAAATTTTCATGTTCCCAACATGCACCAACATGCACAATATCTAGTAGCTCAGATGCAACTCTGAATGGATTTCCCTTAGAGCAAGGCAGACATAAAACAGTACATTTTGATACTGTAAAAATAAACTCCCACTTGTTGTGATCTTATTTAATTCTCATTATAGCCCTGTGAAGTTGGCACTAATATATACACTTTAGAAAGCAGGCAATTAGTCATGCCTATTTGAACTCAAAGCCCACTCTAAAACACAATGTGACAAGATTACTCCTCTGTAACTTCAGTGGCTTTAGGACTACAGATCTGGTTTGGTAGCAAATGTTCATCTCCTTTGATCTGTTTTCTCATTTAGCTCCGATTAAGCCAGCTGAAAAATGAAGGTGGTGTCTTTTTGGCTAAAAACAAAGCTCTTAAGTTATGTCAATCACAATGTTGGTGGGATGGCCTAGCAGATTACTGGTTCTTAGAACAGGCTAATTCATTCCAGATGGCCAGGGTTGTCTAGGAAGCTGCAGGCGGCCATCATTGCATGCATAAGCACCAAGGGCTGCAGCTGTATGGCACCTGGCCACGTGAGGAGAAAATAATGATGGGTAACTGGAAAGCAGATAAAAAAGACTGGCACTCAACCATCTGCCTCTCAGTTGGGAAAATTAATCTGAAAAAGTTCCCACCCAAGACCTGTAAATAACTGACATTAGTCCCCAGAATGTGAGAAGGTCAGGGGTTTCTGCCCAAGAAAAGGATGCAGAATGGTAACGGCATTGGTGATGGAAGCCTAAATCCTTCTCTTCCTTAATTCTACATGCAGTGCCTCACTCCTGCAGAGGACTAAGAGGGAATTAAATTCAACTCACATGGGCCAGTCGATCAAATCTGGCAAAGAGCTCGTTGAGCATCCTGACCAGCTCCTGAGCGGACAAGGTCGTGGAGAGGTTGGTAAATCCTTTAACATCTGCAAAAAGAATACTAAACATTGGGGAGGGGGGTGGGAGGAAGTGAATTAATATTTTAATCCATCCTGAAAGACACACAAAATAAATAATTATATCATTCAAATAAATCAATCATGTCTGTGGTCTGAGATTTTAGCTCTCCTTGCCATGGGAATCAGGAGGAATGCTTCCTATTTAACAAGTATCTCGGCGGTGAACATCCACCCAGGATTTCAGGAAGCACAAAGGAACACCAAAGGCCCTTCTTCCTGTGCAGGGGTGTGGAGTATAGGCAGTGCACACAACCCCAAAGGAAATTTATCTGTATGAAAAGATCAATTTGTTGTGAAAAGCAAAATGAAACTTCGTGAATTAGCTCTATATTTTCACAATAGATAGCAATGCAGGTGCTATGCTCATGGAGTAAAACAGACACAGGGGGATGGGGAGAGCAAAAAGTGTCACCATCTTGAGCCCAGGACATGTACTCTATTCTAAATGACAGGCAAACTGAAGTAAGTGTTTCTCAAAAATTATGAGGATAGGTGGCAAAGGTGGGAGGCCTCCAGTGAAATAACTACTTTCCTAAAATGCTCATATTTTCTGAGGATTTAAGTCAGGTGAAGTCGTGCTCCATGCATACGACTTGGCATAAGGGAAGAGGCCAGTCTTTGAAAGTTTTATAAAAGCCAGGCACTGTCTTAGTTTATCCATCCACAACCTGGTAGGGGCAGGCATAGTTCTTTCCATTCTGGAGGTGAGAAAACTGATGCTCTGAGAGGTAAGACTTTTCCAATATCCTGCAGGGACTATGTGGTCGAGTTGGGGTTTTCTACATCATTGAGTTGTGTTGAGGGCCATTCCTCCATCCCTTTGCCACACCATCTCAGGAACCTCTAACAGAAAGATGGGATCCCAAACAGGACACCATATTCATAATTTCTTACGTTTCAACCTTTCAGAAACTGGGATATGCCTTAAAAATAATGGCATTTTATCAGTGTGAAACAGTTTCTTAGTGTTGCATGAAATAATAATGAGTGTACAATCAGTATGACTTAGTTTTAATGAAATAGGTAACTACCTAGAAAACACTGTGGAGTGTGTGATGACTTATACTGGTCACCCCTTTTATTCAGAAGTTTTCAAAGTTTGTGTGTGTTACAAACTCTTTAAATAAGCTTATATAGATGCACAGGTAGTCAACATCTTGCCCTTTATTTTAAGGGATTTGTACTTTCCCCTAATTCTGTTCTTGATGTTATTAAAAATCAGGTTTTTTACTGAGCAGTTGAGGCACTGGTTAATGTGCTCACATCCTGCACAGGAATACCTGAGTGTGACACCTGACTCTGGCTACTGATTCGTGCTTTCAGCTCATTCAGACCCTGTGGAGCAATACTGGTGACTCAAGTGATTTGGTTTCTATCACCCATGTGAGAGATCAAACTGGGTTTTTGGCTCCTGGCTTCTGCCCTGGCCCAAGGCTATGGTAGGCATTTGGGGAGTGGATCACTGGATGGGAGCTGTCTGTCTCTTTGGCTGTCTTTCAAATAAGCAAACAAACACATAAATAAATAATCAATTCTGTTTCCCAGTTTAGAAACTATTGTTAATTAGTTAATCTCTTAATTATTTTTAAAAAAGATTTATTCATTTATTTTGCAAGTCAGTTACAGAGAGAGGAAGAGCCAGAGATAGAGATAGATAGAGAGAGAGAGAGAGAGAGAGACAGAGACAGAGATAAAAAGAGATCTTCCATCTGCTGGTTCACTCTCCAGATGATTGCAACAGCCAGCACCGGGCAAGAGCAAAACTGGTGCTGGGAGACATGGGTGACAGGGGCCAAAACACTTGGTCCATCTTCTGCTGCCTTTCCCATGCCACCAACAGGGACATGAATTGGAAGTGGACATGAATTGTCATGCATATGTGATTCTGGCATCGCAGCAGTGGCTCTACCTTCTATGCCACAGTGCTGGCCCAAAGGCCTCAATTCTTGTAGAAAATATTTATATCTGCTAGGACATTGGATAGTGATAAATAAGACCTGGTGTCTGTCCTCAACATCCCAAGAGTCTGAAGAATGGAGATCAGCAGGCAAGGAGAACCTCAGTAACAATGGAGGGTCATGGGTACTATGACAGAAAGACAGGCTGGGGAATGAAAGGGGATCAAGAATAACCTAGTGAAGCAAAATCTCAGATGAATCTTGAAGTAAACATGGGATACAGGGAGTATAGGAAGGAGAAGGTTGAGTATTCTGAGCAGAAGGACCAGTACATACCACAGTCTGGTGAAACAGCAAGCAAACTCATCCACGGTCTATAGGAATTCAAGGACAGTAACAGGGTAGCACTGAGCAAGGAGGTTTGGAAAAGAAGGGGAGGGAAAGGAAAAGAAGAGAAAGGAGGATAAAGAAAGGAAAGGAGAGAGAGAAGCAGGGAGGGGGAGATAGATGAGAGAGGGAGAGGGGGTGGGAAAGGGGGAAGAGAAAGAGAGAGAGAGGGAATGAGAATGAGGGGAAGTGAATGCTAAAATGAGGCTGGTAATGAAGATGGATTGATAAACCGGGCTGAATATGGATTTTCTTCTGAAGATGACGAAGCTCCTAAAGGATCTTGTACATGGGCATGATATAGCTAGATTTTCTACTTATTAAGTTCCCCTATAAGAGTCATCACACTGCCACTGTCCTGTACAGCTTTGTACTGGCAGAACATATTGGCACGTAAATAGGATTTGACTCTAGATGGATCTGAGTCCAAACCCCTGCTCATCACTTACAAATTCTATGACCTTGTATAAGTCCTGAATTTCTTCAAGTCCTTAGACCTGGTATGGCTCTGCGAGTTCTCCCTATAGTCACTCATTTATTCCACAAAGCAATCTACGTGGTAGAATCCATCACGATCATTTTCTATTTTACAGACAAGGGAACTGAGGCCTGAGTAACTTGCTCACAGTCATGAAGGGCTGGGATTTGAACCTGGAAGCCTGGCTCTGGAATCCATAGTCATTGTCATTAAACTGCATTACAAGTGAAGTGAGACGATTCATTGTCATGGCAAGAGGGACATGGAAAGGCTTTAGATCATGGTGGAAAGGCCTTAAATCATGGAATCCAACCTTCTGTCTTTATAGATCCAGACACCTAAACTGTTAGTGTCCACCTCTCTATGGCAAGGATAGCTCATTCATGTATTCCTAATTGAATGCCTGCTACACGTCAGTCACTGGAAGCACTGTGGAGTGCAGACTGTACCATCATAGCCTTTATGGAGCTTTATGGGAAATGGATTCCCTGGGAGGCAAGGTCATAACAGTTTTAGATGTACTCAGTGTTCCAGTGTCATGAAATTTCTTAGTCTTCTGAGTGTACCCTACTTTATGCACCCGTGATTTTGTATAGGATATACCTGCTTCCTAGCATAGTTTTCTTTCCTTTTGCTATCTATTGAAATCGTACTTGTCCTTCAATACTACACTCATATGTGAAGACTCTTCTTTAATGGAGAATTCCCTAAGAACAGCTAGTTAGTCCATCTACACCACTTGTCACCTGTGTGGCCTTGGCTATACCTCTGTCATGGTACTCAACACTCGAAAGCACAATCCCTATGAGGCTGTGTTCCATCTGCTCATATTAGCTAAAGAACAGGAAGAAAGTCGTCTCCATATTCCACCTGCTTAGCACACAGTAAGCTTCATTTTACGTGTCCTCAGTGTAGTCAGCAGAAATATTCAGGTTTAAGTCCCCCCTTTTCATAGTGTGGCCATAGCCACCACTGGCGTCTGCTGGGAGGTTCTTAGAACTACAGCATATCAGGCTCTCGGGCCCCATAACCAAACTGACTATATCAACATCCACTTTGACAAGAGACCTGGGTGGTTCATGTGCACATCCAAGACAACAGCACTGGTCTAAGTCACAGTTCTACAATAAGGAAATATCAAACTAAAGAGAAAGGCAGAAATGAAGGCTCTGATTCTCATTCCATTACTCACTCTGCTGCCCCTGTGTGCTATATTCAAGATCATCAGGTATTTTCATTCTTGGCATAAACTTGTCACCTCCCAAGATGAATATACCAGAGGGGCATAGTAGTTTTCAGCACTAATTGAGTTAAATAAGTTTTTTTTTTTTTTGGCTAAAAATAAATCATGTTACTTAATAGTTCTGTAAATATAATTCTTAAGAAATATCTAGCACAATTCAGTAAAATTGTCAGGAACATCAGTACCATGTGTGTTCTTGGGAAAGTCAGTTAACCTCTCATTTTCTCAACAGTAAAGAAAGATCATTAAATCTACACCAGGAGACTACTGTAATGAGATAATTTTGTAAATCATAACATGGTCTTTTGCCGCAAAAAGCTGAATGGCCAGGTGGATCTTATAGCCTGAATCTGTTATAGTCTCAGGGGTTTGGAGCTGAAATCAACTTAAGAGTCCAGATGTTTTGTCCATTTCCAACCACACTGTTTTGGATTGGGTAACTAAAGTGCACAAAGATGAAATGATACGGCCAGAATCTTGCTGGAAGTGTGCTCACACGGAGGGAGACAGCTTTAGAGAAGGGTCATAAACAACTAACATCAGAAACAACAGAGAACACAATTAGAAATGATTTTTAAAATTCTCCCACACTGCACAGGGTTTGCTCTGGGGGCTGCAGAAGGGGGCGTAGCAGCCGGTCTGGCTTTGTTTCTCAGTCATGGATTACGGAGTGTCCTCCTCTGCTTCCATCTCTCTGGTCTTATTTTAGCATCCTACAGTCTTGCAGTGGGCAGGAGAGGCCCTGCCACCCCTGGCTGAGTTCATCTTTCCAGTGCTACCAAGGGCCTGGGCAGCTTGTCACCACTACTCTCAGAGCAGCCAGGGAGAAGCCCAGGGTGGCAGCCGGTTTCTGAATTGATTCCTCTCCCCCTAGAAACTGTGATTCTGACTAAAGACACTGAGAAATCTAGGGCAGGAAATTATACTTTAATTCAATACGGTGTGAATGTCTGAGAAAGGGTCATCAGCATAAGAACCCAGTTGGATGACTGAAAATGAATAGGCGAGGCTGGAGGAGGCAGAAAAACTTCAGCTGTTCTCCACCTAAGAGAGCACTGAGAAATGCTTAAGCAGAAAGAAAGTCTAATGTGTTATTGAGCTAAGGTTCTGAGTAGGTCAGTGCGGATGTGTGGCCTTGTTTATCCCCCCCTTTTTTCCTTTATAAAGTTGCTATCATTTATTTTCTCTTTCCCCATGGTGACAGGCACTTTTATAATATATCATAAATGTTATTTAATGAACATATACAGGTTTATATAATAAATACACACATTTTTATTTTCTTTCAAAATATTGATCTGACTTATGCCTTTGTCATTGAGCCATGCTGTCACCAGGGAAGGCATATTGAGGCTATCTATGGTTTTCTGCATCCATCATAGCTCTACATTGAGTCATGATGTTCACAATGCTCAGAATCTTGTCTTGGTTTTCTCGCTTGGCTAACTCAATCTCCATTAATGTCAATGAGGACCACTTCTCTCAGGAAGATTTCTAAGCCCATTCCCATGTCCTCACCCCCTCTTCCCAGCCTCAGGTCAGTCATAGGACTGTAATAGAACCCTGCCCCAGATTATGATTAATGGGTGCCCATTGTTCTAGAATTGGTATTGATGTGTTTCTATTTTCTAGGGGACCTGTTCCTAGATTGGGGTGCATATTTATTGGAGCTGCTGTTTCACAAAAAACTGCTTTGCAAACTCAAGCATCTACATCAGGGCAGCTCAATTTTTGAACAAGAACCCAAATAATAACGTTACTGCTATGCCCACTGAAGGGTTATATTAGCATCATGATCTCTGCTGGACATTGCATTACAATGTGTTCTTGCACACCAGGCAGAGAAAACCTAAAGAGGCTGCTAAGAGGGAAGAGTCGTGCTCTTTCCTCCTACAAAAGTTAGGAAGAAAGGAGCTCAGAGTATATCTTTGTAATTTTTGCAATGTATGGACAATGTTCAATGTAGAGATTTTACCCTATGTTTAGGAAATTTCCACCCTAATAGATTTGGAGGGAGGGAAATACAGTTCTACTGCGTAAACTGCAAATGCCGGAAACTTGCTTGAAAGTGACAGCTCAGCCAACCAAACTTGTCTGCCCTTCGTTTTAACTTGAGATGCAAAGGAAACAGGAGGAGCAGAGAATAGGGCAGAGCAAAGGCAGTCACATCTGGTTCTTGGGACTGCCGGAGAAATTACAATGGTGCACACTGTGTTAGGAAATAGGAGTTGGTAGCACAAGCTATGGTCTGTTCAGAAGCAGTGACACTGGCATTCTAGCTGCTCTTGTGCTCTGGGAAGATTTTGGCTATGCATCTGGCTCTGTGGCCTTGCTTTATTCTGACCCACTGCCCTAGTCTATTTCTCTGTCCTTCTTTGATTATTTTGTGAACTGCCACATGGCCTTGCAATAAATCTAATTTAATCCAGGATTGGATCCTTTTGTTTGCAAGATAGAAAACATGTCTGAAATGTGCCATACTAGAGGCTTAACCATGCCTGTTCTGTGCTTTGTATGCATTTTCACTTACAAAATCTACACATCACAGTTGTTAAAATATCCATTTTACAAAGACAGATCTTGACATTCAGGTTAATAAATTGCTCAAGGTCACAGACAGGAAGAAGCAAAACTGAGGTTCTAAAACTAGCCTTTCTCACTATGGAGTCTGCTCTTTGGTTTTCAATGTATGTCATGTTATCCAGTGTAGTACTGGGCATAATGAGGACTTAGATGGATAGATGGTCTGATAATTGGATGAGTGAGAGTGTGCATAGAAGGATGGATGGGTAGATGGATGTGTGAAAGGATGAATAAGTGCATGGATAGGTGGGTGAGTGAACGAATAGATTGGGTGAGTGGTTGGATAGATAAATGATTGCCTAGCAATATGCTTGCAAAGGGAAATATGGTGTAGTTCCTCTCTGTATTGTTTTGAAGACACTTCTGGGGAATGTAAGGAGAGACCTATATGATCACACCTGAAGCCCCCAGATTACATTTTAAGATATTTTTTCTTTCCAAGTATAGCCTAAATGACTTTTGCCTTTTCCACTCAAAGTGTGAAGGCAGGGAAGCCTCCTATAGGGGGAGCCAGGCAGTAAGTCAATTAGAAAATATAATTGAATTTTCTTACGTTCTTCTCCAGCCTCTATTTGAAATGTAGAAATCTCTGCTGAATAATCACTAGGTAATGAATTAATCAACTGAATGAAGGAAGACATTGACATTCAGGCAGATAGAAGTCATAGTGTGATGAGAGCTGTCAGGCACACGAGCAGCATATGGAAACCTGGGGCGGGGCTGTTGCATTTCTTACCTGACGTTCTCATAACGATGGATGTAGATTCGATGGAACTGGTGCTGCAGGTGCTCATCTTCCACATTGGTCATGTCGTTGATCATTTCCAGGACAACAAATCGGGGTAGCACAGACAGCACGAGCCGCTCCTGGAATGAAGCAATGAAGAGGGATAGGCTTGTAAGACTGAACTGCAAGTCTCAGATGGGTGGGTGGAGTGTATAGAAATCATGGGACTCTTGGATGAACTTCTTGTGCAATTGCTAATGTCACATCACTCTATGAGCATGACAAATATCCATTGAGAACTTATTTTTCAGGCTTTGTGATGGGTACTGGCTATTTAGTGCGTTATTGGATGGAAATGATTCTTACTTTTTAAAAAAAGATTTATTTACTTATTTGGAAGGCAAAGTTACAGAGAGAGAGAGGGAGACGTAAACATACATGCACACACATACACAGAGCAATTTTCCATATGCTTGTTCACACCTCAAATGGGTATAATGTCCAGGGCTGGGCCAGACCAAAGACAGGAACCAGAAACTCCCTCTGGGTCATGAACAAGGGTGGCAGGGGCCCAAACACTTGAGCCATCTTCTGCTGCATTCCTAGATGCATTACCAGCGAGCTGGATCAGAAGTGGAGCAGCTGGGACTTGAGCCTGTGCTCATATCAGATTCCGCTGTCACAGGTGGCACCTTAACTAGCTACAGTACAATGTCAGTCTTGGTTCTTACTACTGAAGAACCCAAACATGCCCACACACATTGACAAAATGTGAAAAGTGCCATAAAGAATAGGTCATGATGAGAGAGTTTACTAGTTGATGACATGATTCAAATCAAGAGTTAAGAAAAATCTTTATTTGGAATTGCTGTTTAACTGACCTGAGAGTTTGTAATGAGCCAGTCCTGTCTAGGGCAAGGAGAAGTCCAGGAGGAAACATGAAGTGCACATGTCCTGAGGCAGACAAGAGCAATGGGGTTGCTGGGGGATTAGAAGGGCATAGTGACAACTCACAAGACTAGAGGTGAAGATAGATCTTTCAGGTTAGCCTAAGACCTTTGCATTTAATTCCTACTACAACTGGAAGACACTGAATGATACTCAGTAGAAGACTGACATAAACTGATTAACATTTTTAAAGATCACTCTGGTAATGAATCGTGGGGAGGGGCCAAAGGTGGAAGCAGAGAAGGCAGCTGGGAAAGTTCCTGCAGAGATGCAGGGGAGAGAGGTGGTGGTGGAGGTTAGATCCACCAAATTGGCAACCAACCAAGAAGGCAGCAGACAAAGAGGGTGTGGCCACCATGATGGCTGGTTTTGCCTTTGGCTCATAGGGAATGTGCTACATTTATAGAACGGAGGTACACAGGGGAGAAACTGAGTGAATGAGTCCCTAACTCTTTATCAAAGATGACAGGAAATGAAACATAAGCAACTTGAGAGAGAGGACTCCCTCCTTCCTTCTTCCTTCCTTCCTTCCTTCCTCCCTTCCTTCCTTCCTTCCTTCCTTCCCTTCCCTTCCCTTCCCTTCCCTTCCCTTCCCTTCCCTTCCCTTCCCTTTCTTTCCCTTCCTTTCCCTTCCCTTCCCCTTCCCTTCCCTTCCCTTCCCTTCCCTTCCCTTCCCTTCCCTTCCCTTCCCTTCCCTCCCTTCCCTTCCCTTCCCTTCCCTTTCCTTCCCTTCCCTTCCTCCCTTCCTTTCCAGATTTATCTATTTATTTGAAAGGCAGACAGAGAGGCAGAGAGAGAGAGAGAGAGAGAGAGAGAGAGAGAGGTCTTCTATCCACTGGTTCACTCCCCAAATGGCCGCAATGGAGCTGGGCCAATCTGAAGCCAGGAGCCAGGAGATTCTTCTGGGTCTCCCATGTGGGTGCAGGGACTCAAGGACGTGGGCCATCTTCCACTGTTTTCCCAGGCCATAGCAGAGAGCTGGATCAGAAGTGAAGCAGCTAGGACTCTAACCAGTGCACATATGGGATGCCGGCACTGCAGGCTGAAGTTTTCTCTGCTACACCACAGTGCTGGTGCCCAAAATAATTTTCTTTCTTTCTTCTTCTTCTTTTTTTTTTTTTTTTTTTGATAGGCAGAGTGGACAGTGAGAGAGAGAGACAGAGAAAAAGGTCTTCCTTTGACGTTGGTTCACCCTCCAATGGCCGCCGCGGCCGGTGCGCTGCGGCCGGTGCACCATGCTGATCCGATGGCAGGAGCCAGGTACTTATCCTGGTCTCCCATGGGGTGCAGGGCCCAAGTACTTGGGCCATCCTCCACTCTACTCCCTGGCCACAGCAGAGAGCTGGCCTGGAAGAGGGGCAACTGGGACAGAATCCAGCGCCCCGACCGGGACTAGAACCCTGTGTGCCAGCGCTGCAAGGCGGAGGATTAGCCTAGTGAGCCACGGCGCTGGCCATAATTTTCTTTCTATTCTGATCATAGGAGCAAAGTAATTAGCTTACTAGCAACAGGAACTTAACCTACAATGTCACTGTATTGCAGAAACCAGGCAAGAATCTGGCTTCTGACTGTTGTTGGGTTGACAAAGTGTTGAGCTGAGCTTAAGATGGTGCTTCATAATGGTGGTTTCTCATATCTTTGTACTTATTTATGGATCTTAAACATTGCTACCTCCATTTTCTCGTATGTTTCTCAACCTGAAAATAAGCACACAGAAATAATTTTCATGTAATAGAGTCTAGGAGAGGTGAAATGACTTCTTTTCTTAAGATTTATTTATTTACTTGAAAGTCAGAGTTACGCAGAGAGAGAAGGAGAGGCGCAGAGAGAGAGAGGGAGAGAGAGAGAGAGGTCTTCCATCCACTGGTTCACTCCCCAGATGACTGAAGTGGCTGGAGCTGCATTGATCCAAAGCCAGGAGCCAGGAGCTTCTTCCAGGTCTCCTACACAGGTGCAGAGGCCCAAAGACTTGGGCCATTTTCTACTGCTTTCCAAGGCCATAACAGAGAGCTGGATAGGAAGTGGAGCAGCTGGGACTTGAACAGGTGCATCATATGGGATGCCAACACTGCAGGCAGAGGCTTTACCTGCTATGCCACATCGCCGGCCCCTTGTGAAATGACTTCTACAACCTGTACTGTGACCAAATGGCAGTGCTTGGCTCACCCTTTACCTCGTTATTCTTTACTGGGGTTCTTGGTGGATGAGTTGGGATCTCACGTCCATCACTTACTAGAAATGTAGTCTGTTACTTCTATGTGCCTTGATTCCCTAATTTGGCAAATACCAATACTATTATATATGTCCCAGTGTTACTGATAGAATTCAATGAAATAAAATATGTGAGTGACGTGGCATTGATTCTCTCATCCCTCCTCTCTGGTCTTCTTAATCCTGGATCTCATGCCAAGGGTTTTATTAAATGAAGTGTCCGCAGAGCATCCTAAGATGAAGCTGTTTCCTCATTGCACAGAGAGATGTGCTTTCAGCAAACACCCCTACGCAGTGTCCTCATGTTCACTACTGCCAGTTGTCAACTTCCCAGATACTTGTGCCCCTATTCACACAATGGCTGGTGAAAGGGAAAAGGTCCCACTCATGGCTCTGAGGGCACCAGTGCTCTGCTGCTGGTGGGGGATATTTTATTAAGATGCCACCTACAGCACTTTGTATTGCTTATGGAAGGGAGAAAAAGGGCTGAACTACAAGTCCAATAACTTCCTGGGCCCCTCTGTCAGTTTGGAAGTGCTTAATTGTGAATTATGCTTTCACTAGTGCTGCACTGCATGGCTTCTAAGATATGGACTGACAAAGAAGGAATGGGTTCCATTAGGAATAGAGGCTAAGAAGGGAGTGATAGAGCACATAAAATGATGCAAGTGTAGGAGAGGATGCCACGAAAAAGGACATTCATTCCCCTGCACTATTTCGATGTTTCACCCTGAAAGTCAAGTCCATGGACACATTTATGAGGCTATGCTCTGGATCTGTACACTGCCCATCCATCAGAGTGGCCTAGAGTTCACAAAAGTTCAGCTGCCCTGGCACACCCCAGACCTACTGAATTGGGCTCTGTGGGGGAGTGGTGAGGCAAGTGGAGTTCTTCAAGTTGCCTCAGATGTCTGAGTACCAAGGTAAGGAATGGGACCCACATGGCAGAGGCTATGTTATGCACCTTGAGACACAGTAGTATACTTGGCTTTTACTATAGTGTTACCAGACAAGTATTTGCAGAAAACAAAACAAAACAAAACAAAAAAACAAAACCTAAAAACACCATGGTTTTAGAAAAATCAGATCACCTAACAACATGATCACCTAGATCATAAACAGCAAAGGATCTAACCACATTCTCCTGGCTCCAAAAATAACTCTCCCAATGCTAACTTCTTCAAAACATATTTTAATGACCTCTTACTTGATCAATAGAGTTCTTTAAAATAAACATAAATTGGCTGGTGCCGCGGCTCACTAGGCTAATCCTCCGCCTGTGGCGCTGGCACTCCAGGTTCTTATCCCGGTTGGGGTGCCAGATTCTGTCCCGGTTGCTCCTCTTCCAGTCCAGCTCTCTGCTGTGGCCCGGGAAGGCAGTGGAGGATGGCTCAGGTCCTTGGGCTCTGCACCTGCATGGGAGACCAGGAGGAAGCACCTGGCTCCTGGCTTCGGATCAGCGCAGCGTGCCGGCCATAGCAGCCATTTGGGGAGTGAACCAATGGAAGGAAGACCTTTCTCTCTGTCTCTCTCTCACTGTCTAACTCTGCCTGTCAAAAATAAATAAATAAATTAATTAATTAAGGCAGCTGCTGGGATAGTGATATGATAGGAATGAAAAGTATGCAAGGGTGAATTCACTAAGGAAGGTGGGGGAGAAGTTCCTAATTCAGGGTCCTGAAAAATGACTGAGCTTTCAAATGATTTCTCATGAGTTATTATATTTATTTATTCATTCAATTAACAAATATTTATTGAGAATATACCATATTCCATCTCCATTTCCAAGTATAGGGGATACAGAGGGAATAAGCAGGCATGACTCTAGAGGAAGGCTTTGCAGTTAGAGACTTCGAGGGCCCTGGGATTGCATGTCAAGATATGCATCTTTACTAGCTGCTGCTTATGGGGCTCTGAGAGCACCCACTGTGGGTCAGCAATAAGTTACAGAGCTTCACACTCAATTGTGTGCAATATTCAC